TTTTTTTTTTTTCGAAGAAAGTATAAAATGTCCAACAGTAGGAAAAGAAATGAAAGAAATAAAAAACGTGAAAGGAAAGACAAATAAATTATGCATTTAATGTAAGAAAGTATGATCGTCAATGTTGAGGAAAGAGCAAAAGCATCGTTTATGGAAATGAAACATCTTTTTCCCAAGCTCATAAATACGCACAAACACTTTCTATACAATATTATGTTAACGTTTCAGATCAGAAGATGCAAAGCCAAAATTGAAAACAGAAGCTGATCTTTACATCTGAAAGCATAGGGAAACTAAGACCTGAAAGCACAGGGAAACACTAGTTACAAGAGAGCGCACATATCATAGTTGAGACATTCAATCAATGGTGAAATCAGGCTCCGGAGGTTTCTGCAGCTTAACCAACTCCCTTGTGCTCTTGAGATTCCGGTTCCTGTGGACCCCGCGCAAGGCATTGGCTGCGAACCTCGACGCCAGGAAAGTGGCCCCAATACTGTATGACCCCCCACCAGCGGCGGCCAATTCCTCCTCCTTTCTTCTGAGCTTCCTCTTGGAATAGCGTCGCCAAGCGGCCTGGATGAAGCAGGCGGCCCAAGTGCGCCACTGCTGAGAGTAGAATCGGAAAGTGTGCTGCACCTGCCGGCTGTGGAGACGCCGGAACTGGCCGGCCACAAACTTGAGCTCGTCGGCCGACAAGGCAAAGGCCTCGACCTCTGAGAGTGCGTGCACAGTGCGAGTGGACGAGGGGAGATTGGAGGCCGACTTTGGGTCGAGGGCCCAAGTCAAGAGTTCCTCCCCGCAGAAGTCACCTTCTTTTAAGAGGCTGCGGTTGAAAAAGCCGCTTCGGCCACCGTCGGTGGTCACGCTCTCGAGGCGGCCGCGGATTAGGAAGATCATCTCGTCCACAGGGTCACCCTCACGCACGATGTAGCTGCTCTCCGTGTACAGGCACGGCTTCAGCCGCTCGCAGATCGCGTCTAGAAGTCGCTCGTCCATCTTCTCAAACAGCGGCACCTGCACGAGATAATTACCGAGTTATTTTTGTAATTATCTCCAATGGCCAAAAAAAGGAAGCTTACCCTCTTCACCAAACCCAGACACAGATGACGTTTGATGTCTCGTCTGAGATCTTTGGGCAGACTCTGGACAAGACTCTCTTCATCGACCCCACGAGTCTCCAGCCATTTGTACTGATCATAACGCCTCACTCGCTCCCTCAGATCGGGCGGTAGCAGCCGATGATGCATCCATTGCTCCGAGTCACGCCTTTTCACCCTCATCTCTTCCAGTCGAATAGTAAGTGATTGCAGGTATGTCTGGGCAAAAGAAAGAGATTATAAAATGAAGCGCTTATATCATCAAGTAAATAAGTAAATACAGAAAGAAAGTGAAAAAATAAATGCAAGGTAATAAGCCAAAATCTAGAAGATGCGAGCAAGTGACAATGTGATAGCTGCATTATTACCTGCATATTCCCAATCAACAATGCAAAGAGAATGAGTCCGAAAATAGCAAGCGCTATGCTGAATAAAGACTCCCCAGGATAAGTGCTGGTTTCAAGGCCTTGTCCAAGTGTGCTGAAGTAACAAACATGACAAATACCAAGTTAGTATCATATCTTTTTCATGTTATACTGAACATGCTAGTATCACAATTTTTGGATTTCTTGCTTCTGACAAATGCAACAAAGAGGGCTTTTTATAAGTTTCATTTCTTTTACACCCAAGCAGGTAGGTGAAAGATGACAGACTATTCGAATAGATTGTCCTACCGCTTTTACATCAGCAAAGCCTAGAGACAATCATACCAACAAGAATATCATATAAATCAAGAATATTAATCGACATTAGGATGCACCAAAAATAAAAAAAGAATTGGAAGAACACGAGAAAATTTTACTAAGCATGATAAATGTAACTAATATACGAAAAATAAGTTTCATTACCTCAAATTCTGCAGGCCCCACCACAGACAGTAACAGTACTTGGACAAGAACTTCCTTGATGAAACTATCCCGGATGCTAAAGCCTGCCTGAAGATTCCGAAATCAAATGGCGAATTTTTCTCATCAACCACAGGACAAGCTGAGGTTAAAACAGATTCACTAATGTTGCTCCAAGTATTGTAACCATTCATCCTTTGATTTCCACAGTACAAGAAATCTGTGATACAACTCCCACTGTGTTTACAAGCCCTCTGCCAGCATGTGTCATTACGTTCCACAGACAACAAGTACCAGAGGGCCCCTACTATCTGGAAAAAGAAAGGGAAGAAAAAAACATGGCGCCTTATGAAATATGTATCATGAAAGGGGATAATAATTTCTTTCTTTTTTTCCCTCAAAGTTGGAAGGATCATTTCCATAGAAGCTTACGTGGCTAGCAAGCATGTATAGCAGCAAATAAGAAACTGCACCGGCCCAAGCAGTTTCAGCAAAGACACCGGAAGTTCTTTTCAGTTCAGAAGTTAGTGGCAAAATTCGGGCAAATCTGGGAATATACTGAAGCAAAATGATAAAAAATAGTGCTTGCTTTGTAGTCAGTACATCCGAGCCTTTTGACCTCTGTAGAAATCTCCACACAACAATCTGTAGATTCAAAAAGATGCAAAAAATAAGGTAACAAGAAAATGCCAATGATTTCTAGAAATCAGGTAATTCACTGGTGACGTGGTTACTCATTTTACTATGGTCATAGACATATGACAGATAGTTTATAGTTAACTAACAAAACAAAGATACCTCTATATCAATTATTACATTTCTACAAGCACACATCCAGCAGAGCACGCAGAAAAACTAGAGCATGGCCATTACATTACATTACAAAAGGAACTACTCAAAATCCGAAGATAATAAACACAGAAAGGAACATAGTTGTAGCAGTAAGATTTATCAATTGAAGAAATAAGGAAACACGCGTTGTTGAACAAACAATGACACAAGAAAAAAATGAAAAAAGGCGAAAGAATAAAATATAGAAGAAGTCTTAATGGCAGTAGATCATCCAACATCTGTACAATTCTATAGCTCACGAAATGCAGAGAGCATAGTTAATGCATATTACAGCAACTTCCATGCTTAAGCACAAGTAGGAAGCAAAATGAAAAAAAATAAAAATAAAAATAAAAAAAATAAAAGACCAAGATAAACAAGAGCAACATTGCACTCATCATAGTTCCATTCCAGAAGAGCTCCAATGGAGGTCCCTCCAAAAAAAATTCTAATCAAGAAACAACTGAAACTATCACAAAAATGACATGATAGGCAGACCTTGAACCAAATATCTCAAAACTCAACCCACTAAATCTAAATGTACCTCTTCCTTTAGTTTTCATTCCCTTTCTTTGCATAAGGAGATTGAACAAATCCCATATGGGTGGTCTTCTTTGCTAATACTGATAAATATATTGTTCTAGATTATACACTACAAGCGTAAAACTTAAGGATGCTATCAATAAAACACAATTGAAAGTCAGAATTGAAATTTTGTATCCAAAAACATAAAGAATGTCAACCTGTCATGAAACGGCCTTTTAGAAAGCAAACAACAATGTAATATTTCTGAACCTGTGGAAGGGGTAGCACGGCAAGGAAATCGATTATAAAATAGCACTTCAAGTATCTCTTGGCAATCTCTGCAGTGTCTATCACAAGTTCACCCCGGCCAAACACCCGAGACGAAGGCGCAATATAAGCCGTCCGGAACTGGAGACACATGTGAATAAGATAGAATACATCAACCAATGTACGAAGTGTGGTGGCTGTGATGGCCAATTTCCTGTCTATGTCCAAGCAGTTTGACGACTTGTTGAAGACTGGAAGAAAGAAAAAAAGGGGGTCTACAGACACACCCAGGATACAAGACATCACAAAAAGCTTGTTCCAGATCGTGAGGACCTTGTCTTGCGGGTCGAATATCTTCTTCTCGGAAACTTTGAGGTCCTCCGGGAATACGGCCCGTGAGACACCGAATCCAAGGGACCGGCCAATAGATTTTAGTCCCTGAGATCCCTTTTTTACACCTTTTTTGAAAGATCTCGACGGAGCATGAGATATGTTGTTGCCACGTCCCAAACCATCGATACCAAAGTTGCATTTGTTGGTCGGCACTGAAGATGAAGGGGATGATAGTCTCGAGTCCAGATCATCCAGCCTTCAATGAAAAAGAAAAAAGAAATGGAAAGCAAAATCCTTACAAAAACATTTTCCACAAATGAGAAAATGCAGACACTAGTAGCCAATATTGCGAGTCTTACAAGTAAGGGTTTGCTTATGTTCCACTTAATCGTGAAAATTACCAATAGAAGGAGAGGATCTCTTCAAATAACAAGTCAACCAGTTGTTATAAAATATCAAGACAATTTTTTATTCTATGAAGCAGGTTCACCTAGTAGAGACAGCAAACACCGAACATTCATTTGATAATATGTACGAATAGAAAAAAGAAAAGAAAGAAATACCTTAAAAACTTGTCCCTCTGTCCAGCAATATATGGAGCCTTTGGACCGCAGTCGAACATTTTTCTTTTACGAATGATGCCAATCTGACAGATGAGAAGAATAGAAACTTAAGAATCATGCAAGAAAGTAAAACAAGTTCAAAATCTTTGGAAACAATTTTCCAATTTTTCATTATCTCACCACATATGGCTCTG